TTATAGAACAAAAAATCTTCCAGACACTCAAAAGGTTTTCTTTGTCAAATCTGAGTGTGATGCAGAGGCTGAAATTAAACTGTTATTCAAGGTATGTAAAATATCTTTACATTTCAACATCATATATATATATATATATATATATATATATATATATATATATATTCTTCTTCTTCTTCATCTTCTTCATCTTCTTCTCTTCTCTTCTTCTTCATTTGTGTGCGTGCGTGCGTATGAGTGTGTGTTTGCGTGTGTGTATATATGTTGTCTGCACGTTTGTGCATGTATGGTATTTAGTGTTTAGTGTCTGGTGTAGATGTGACAGAGAGAGAGAGAGATGAAGAAGTAGAGGTAGAGATAGTAAGAGATGAAGAGAAAGAGAGATTGCACAATTATTTGTCAGATATTTTTTCTTTTATAGGTTTCTATTTATTGCCATACACCACTATAACAGTATTTCTATAATATCTGTCCTGCCATTTTATCATTTGGTGACATGAATGCGTTAAATACCCAAAGTGTTTGTGCTTATTTTCTAGATTATGATCTCTGAAGAGACAGATGTTGTTCGACCTCGCACCCTAACTTACAGCGGAAGGAATGTTACATTTGAGAAGACGTGTGGTGGTGTGTTGAACAGTACCTTTGAAGAATTATGCAACAGAGTGAGTAATGTTTTGACCTCATAAATATGCAGTCACCCTGTTTTGTACATTTACATATTAGGAGAAGTGAAATGAAAATAATTACTATTTTACTTTTATAGTTACAAAGATAATTAAAGAAAAAAAAAATTCCCTTGATTAAAGTGAAGGGAAGTATACTTCCTTTAGATTTAGAAGGACAGTTGTTTTTGATTAAATGATGATCTACTTACTGGACAGCAATAACTTCACTTGTTAATTTTTTATTGATAAGGAAGGATAACCGCCCCCCATAATTGTAGGAAACTAAGTCGATTTTTCCTTTCTTTTAATCTGTATCTGTAATGCAACCAGTTTTGAAGGTTTTGCCCAGGCCCTCAGTTATATAAAACTATTGAACATATAGTTGGAAAAAAAAAAAAAGAGCATAAATTGATATCAAATATACCTTTGATCACTTTTCAGCCCCTGGGTGCTGAAGATTACATCCAGATCTGTCATGTTTTCCACACCATCTTCATCCGAGACATTCCCATTTTGAAAAAAAGGACAAGCTAGAATTTATACTTTTATGATACTAAGGTAAGGTAAAGTGTAAATTATCTGAAGCTAAAGTAGAAAATCCTCATAGAATGTTGTAGTAAGTAGTTGAAAGATGAGGTTGAGAGGAAGAGGGAGTGGTGCTGAGTAAGGTATTACTGCGGGGAGGTGGACAATAAGGCTGCAGGTTAGTAATATGGGAGGAGGGGGTTGAATATGAAGAAGACTGTGGAGGAAGAGGAAATAGACTGGAAAATGTTCAGAGGGAGGAAGGAATATTTTTTAAAGATTGGGTAATGACCTGGGTAGGTGCTTTGGAATGGATTAAGCTGACCGCAGGTATCAAGGAGGGGGGAAGTAGTCCTGGTTGGAGTCATGATCAAAGGAGAGCGAGTGGTCAGGGAACAGTGAAAGTTAATGTCATTGGGGCTGATAAAGAAGCAAGCCTCACTACTTCAAACAAAGGTAAAAAATTCATTATAGGCTATGAGGGATAAAGGCTTGATAACTAAACGGGAATAAGTGCCCATGGCTCCCTGAAGCAATTCAGGACTGACCAAAAGTTAGCCTGTTGTCATTTCAACACAGCCCTCACATCTTAGGATGTGGATAGAAGAAGGAATTGGAGAAGACAAGGAAAGGGAAAAGGGGAGAGGAAAGGACCATGTAAAATTGGTTGGAACAAGGGCTGAGGTCCAAGGAAGGGGAGATCTCCAACACTCTCTGTCTTACCACATCCCACACCACGACAACAATGGACAAGGGATTAGTGGGGTCAGGATGTTGAAAAGGGTTGCAGGCAAGAAGCTGTATACATAGTTAAGTGAAGTCCTGAGTGTCAAAGGTGAATTAGAGAAATGTTGGCATGAAGATGACACTTATCTATTTAGTAAAACTATTTTGTTTAGTGGATTTTTTGTAAGTGATTTTGCAATTATATTATGTATATTTTTCTCAGTATGTGTGAACATTTTAAATTATACATCATGAGACAGTGTTAGATATGCCAGAGAATATTGTTGAAAACCCTTTGATTTTAAAAACTATGCATTCTGTTCCAGGTAAGGATTGTGTGCACAAGTGATGTCCCTCACACACAAATCTTCAGGGGTGATGAAGGGCACTCAGAGTTTGTGGATAAGGAAAGTCTTTCCCTGATGGATGATTTAGGACTCAAGGAAAAAAATGAAACCACGAAAACCATGAGCATCTTCACTGGAGAGGAGGAGATGTTTGCCTTTGATCGCACTGTGTCACGACTCACTCAGATGATGACCAAAAGTTATTGGCAAGAGTACTATTCTGAAATGCGTTGAACCTCAGAAAACGACTAATAATTTCTTTTAAATACTAGTATTTAATGTAGAAAGGATAGCATTTTATGTATAGAACATATATTTTTTTGATGAAAATAAGATAATTCTATTGTGCATCCTTACAATTTATATAGATTATATATTAACTGCTAGGGAATAAAAAACTAAGTGTAATAATTGAATTGTGTATATTTCAGTATTTATTTGTATAGTTCTTATATACTAACTTCATTGTATTTTGAAAGTAAAGATTTTTAAACTACTTTCATTATTTCATGAATTGATATATTAAACCATTTTAAAAAATAATCATATAAACCTCACTTTATTGTATACCGTTTGTCAACCTGTTGATTGTTGTAAGTGTTAATCTTGGCTAGGAAAACAAACCAAAAAATGCATCGAAGCAAGCAGTTATTATGAAACACTTTTAATAGTTTATTTTTATTGTATTGTATATTGTATTTCATATATAAAGTGTGCAATGACAAATGAAACTTGTGTTACTCTATTTACATTAAAATAGTGTAAACTGAAGATTATTATTTTTTTCTAAAATTAAAGTTTGAATAAAAAAAAGTATACCTCTGTGATGGTCTTCCTAAACTTGATCTAACAAAGGAAATTTCTAACATTTTACAAAGCATTTTTAAAGATTGAGAAATTCACTTGCTCAAATACAAACAAACAACTATGCAATGTAAAAGATGAATTTCTTCTCCAATCTCATTTGATATAAATTGTTTGGAATTTACAAAAACCTGTATTTTTATTATCAAACAATAATGGTTTGGTTAGCATATTGTTATTATGAAAATAACCTCTGTTGCACCAGATTTGAGAAGGAAATAGGTATCTAATTTCTTAAGGTGTGTAAAACAAATTCTTGAATGGGGTTGTGTATGTAAATATTGTAAAGGGTGTTTGTAAATATTAAAAACCAATAAATAATTTCCACATTTCTTTTATCTTTTGCCATTTATAATATCGAAACACTTCCTTTTGTAATTTAAAAAATTTTAATAATAAAATAAAAGCTTACAGGATCCTGAATTTCCAGTGAGCTGAATTAATTAAGGACCTATAAAATACAATCAGATGTCACCAAAATTATTAGTTTATGAAATTTAAATGGAAAATGTATATCAACAAAACTACCAATTTGCTGTAAATAGCATCCAAACTATTTTGAAAGATAAGCTAACTTAATGATTTTATTATCATCACACCACAATTTCTGAGTTTCTTACAAGGCTAATTTGTAACAGATATACAAATGAATAGATGTCAAAGTTACAAGAAGTCCAAGAAAAAATCAGAATGGAATATAGTAACCCCGCATTCAAATCCTGAGCTGGGCTGCAAATGAGTCTGATTTGTGGCAACAACCTTCAGTGCTGTGAGCGCTGTATCTGTTCCTTCAACTGCAGAATGGAGGCACGCTGCTCTGGGGGCAGCATCTTGATCTGATCATCCGACAGCTGCAATACTTGCATGATCAAGCTGGCCTGAAAAATCAAATGTTTCAGTAAAATACTACAAACAACCAGAAAGCTTAAATAAAACTAACTCAGAGAACAGAGATAAATCATGTTAACCATATTAACCCACTGGATCCGGACGCTTCACTGCCATCACATGGCTCAAAATGTGGGCACTCTGTGGGTCTGTAGCATTTAGGCTGGGTGCACATGAACACGTGGGGTGACAAGACTCCATGCCTCACATTTGCATCCTGTTCTCTTTTTCAACATCAGCATTTTTAGCTTTATAAACCATTTTCTACTAAACCATTATCCAGGTGATATGCTGTTTTCCTTGCATATGATTTCATATGATTTCATATACAGTTGCATGTCATATACTTTTTTTTTCTTCTTTTCTTTTGTAAAATTCAATTTTCTGTAATATAACATGCGGAGCCAGTCATGGCAGCCAGGAAGATGATGCTGACCATGGAAATGGTGTCCTCCCTGGAGCTGACCCTCTTCTAGTCATGAGTTATGGACATTACATTCCTCATTCATTTATTTGTGGGAATAATGATAAAGCCCCTTGCTAAATACCAAATAAGTCTAATCTCCCTTCAAGAGGTTTGTGCAATTGTGAAGTCTTTTCCAATGCCCTGGCCTTTGCTCATGAAGGCAAATTTGTGTCATCTAGCCTATGACCATATTCACCAATAATAGCATGTTCAAGTAACCCGGTCCTCAAGCCAAATTTTTTCATAGCGTGATGGTCACGTCACCCAGATTGAAAGGGTTAAGAAGGCCTTGATGAGTTGTGTAGCCAATAGTGTAAACAAAAATAAATTAATAAATAAAGTCAAATTAAATTACATTAACAGATTAAACCAAATGGCACATTTGGCATCCATTCTTGCCAATAATCCTGTCTATGCAGCTAAAAGCTGTCTCCCTTCTTTTAAATCAACTGACCTTCTCTTGATCCTGCCCGGCTAAGCTTGGTGGCAGTGTGGGTGGCGCTCCTGTTGGTGGTGGCACTCCTCGAGGAGGCGGCTGAGATGGGGCACCAACTGGAGGCGGAGGATTACCACCTGAAAGAAAGCATTTTAAATTCTTTTCAAGAGCAAATTAAATTAGCTTTCCTAAAATTTAAAGATATTTACGCATTGACTCAAGAGTTGTTTATTTGACCTTAGTTATTTATAAGTGTAAAATCCCCCCCCCCCATTTTTTTTTACTTTATCTAAATTATTATCAACATCATCATTAATATTATCACAATTCTTATCTTATCCTGAAGCAGCAGAGTGATAGGATAATAATGTCCAAAAAATTCTTTACCAAATTAAAACCGACCTCAGATCCACAACTGAGCATACTGCACCCAATATACATACACCAAATATAAATATGTATGATAAAATTTAAAGAGACTGAGAGATGAAAGAAGATTACTCTGTAATTCAACAAGACCATGCAGTACTTACCACTTCTAAAGTCTTTGTCTTGTTGGAATCCTGAACGAGACGAACGAGGATCTCTGGTGTCCGAACTAGTGTTGCTCCGGTAGTCACGGTCTCTGTCCCTTTCGCGTTCTCTCTCCCTGTCCACACCTCTAGGGTCTCGGGTATCACGCTGGTCTCTTGGGTCTCCTCTCTGGTCCCTGCTATCCCTTGGATCTCGATATCCCCGGGAGTCACGATCCCTTTCCCTGTCATTTGTTTGGCATTTAGTTTGTGCTTTTATTATGATTCTTAAGCCTTAAGAATTAAGTAGGTAAGCCGTAGATTTTTGACGAATATTTTTAAAAATACTTAAAAAATTGAAAAAATATTGTGTAATCTAGTAGGCTTTGGCAACCCACTGACATAATATTTCTGCTAAATACATAAGAATAAAGGAGTAATGACTAAATATCTGACCCCCCTACCCCCCCACCTCCTGCTCCGATGTTTACTTTGTCGCGTCCGTACAAACATACTTGATATAATTTTTTTTTTTTCTGATTTTTATTTTTTATTTTTATTTTAGTGTTCTCTGGTAGCTAGCTGGCAACTCTGTTTACCCATCAGCTGATTGCTAAGACTGAGACTCTGGGAGACAAGATGTTGCCATTCTAGGAGACAACCACACACACACACACACACACACACACACACACATATATATATACACACACACACATATATATATATATATATATATATATATATATATATATATATATGTATATATATATCAATATATTTATATATATAAAATATCATCCAAGCAAAATTTCTCGCAAACATGAACGTGACAACCACCTCCTCACCTGTTATCTCTAGGATCCCCACGACTGAAATTCTCTCGGGGTTCTCGACTTGGTGGCGGCTCCCTGAACCTTTGATCGCGCTGGTCATTCCTCTGGTCACGCTGGTCAAATTCACTTCGCTGATCACGGCTAAATCTGTGAAGCAAGCAAGCCCCATAGATTGTCAAATTCATTACTTAAATGTAGTGAAGTTTGGGAAATTTAGTGTGTTTTAGTGTTGTTGATATAATATAAGTACCACTACTGACAAATACATTAATTGCAGATTCAACTTGTTTAAGGATGAAAAGACTACTGTATTCCTCATTACCTTTGAGTAATGCCTATTTTTCCTAAAGGATACAACCTCCTTTGTTTTGATGCTAATATTCCAACTATTTAATCAGAGAAATTCCATAACCAATACAGTTTGATCAAATACAAGAGAAAGAGGAAGAGAATAAAAACAATGAAGAACATATAAACGCATCTTGTATGCGCGCACACCCACATCCACCCACCCACACATACAAAGACACACACACACACACACACACACACACACATACACACACACACAAAACACACACACACACACACACACACATACATACATACATACATACATGCATACACACACACACACCCTCACACACACTCAATTCACTCACTCACTCACTAAACTCAACTAACTCACACACTACATTCAACTCACTCACTCACTCACAGACTGAACTCACTCACTCACTCACACACTCTCACTCACTCACTCACTCTCAACTCACTCAAGCACTCACCAAACTCAAGTCAACTCACACACTATTTCTGAACATGCTACTACAGAAAATAAATATAACTTGCCTAATTAAAAATACATCCATGCTATACACTAAAACTCAGCTGCGAAAGAGATGGCTGATACAAAAACAAAGCTACCTGTCTGAATATCATAACTATTCCCCTTACGAACAGTTCTCTGCTAATCAGACAAGACAGATTAAAGTTTTGTCTGCTTTCTTTCTCAAACATATGGCAAAAAGACAGTTTCTTACATCTCTTGGTCCAATGCTGATTACATGAAAAATGTTAAAAGTAAAATATGTACCTTAAAAGGCTGAATACTATCCCATATAGTGCCTTTCAAATCTACTATAACACCTAATAATCTCCTAAATACCAAAGGCTGTTATCAACATAGCAAGTAAACTGAGGAAAAACATGCCGTGCAAAAAAATAAAAAT